AACGAGCAAGCAGTAAATACTTAATTGTACTAGCAACACAAAGCGACAAGGGAAAAAAACGCAACTTGGTTATTTGTTCATTTTTCCTTGTATATGCACTTCCATGTTTTTTTGTGTACCAATAATGCATCAGTTTCAGCAAACTGTGTTCCAATGTACTGTTCAGGATGAATGTTTGAGGGAGAATGTCAACCTACAAGAACATTTTCATCTTCAACTGTAGTTCCATTGTGCTATCCATGCTTGTCAGCACAGCATGTTTCCATATGCTTACGAGTTACACATTACCTACACAGCTAGCTGTGCAGAAAAAAATTGCATGTACATATGCTTTTCTTATAAGGTTCTAAATCGACAAGAGTAGCAATTTAACGACTCAAATGGCCACTTCTAAAGTCCTCATGGTACAATAAATATGTAGGGTTGAAGGCACTAGTACGTATTGATGCCACCACAGAACTCCATACGTATTGTTCGATTGGTCGTAAACGATCGTAAATTTTAAGTCAGAACAGTATTTTTCTCTCACACCAAACCAGCCAGCAGTAATAATCCACGATCGTATACGATCGTATCAGCACCAGCCGAACAGGCTGATTATGCCTCTAGAAAACATTGTAGACTCGTCTAGTGCCACAAGCTTACATTACACGCCAAACAATAATAACGAGTATATGGCCAGATTCTTGAAGGTGTACCATTATATATTCGATGGTAGCACCACCATCTTGCTTCACTGTATGGTAGCACCACCATCTTCCATTTACCGCCACGAGAAGAAAGGCTAGGCTAACATAAAATGGAGGAGAAAGAGTGGGTAGAAGAAGAAAATATCGCAAATGTTTATGCATTGGAATGGAGGGCAAAAGGAAATATGTGACGGCAACTCTCTACAGTGGCAGAGCCAGGAATTTGCAGCTGGGCATGCCACATATAAAAAAATCAAAGCAGAGGGAACGATTATGAATCCACAGAGAATAGCCTTAGCCCAAATGTTTTGGTGTCACTCAAGCCAAGTCAGCTTCATCTACAGGCTATTGACCTAGATGTTTTCTAAAACAGAGTATGACAGTTCTTGTGCTGGATCCAGCCATCTTGTTGCGATGATCCATTCCGGTAATGATGACACCAGGCACAAAAGAATCAGAGTGTGTTGATCTGTTTTCGTAAACTGTTTGTCTACTTTCAGCTCTAGTTATCTTCTTTTTCTACCAAGGCCCCGTTTAGTTCCCTCCAAAAGCCAAAATTTTTTGCGCAGTAAGTGTCACATCGAATCTTGCGGCACATGCATGGAGTACTAAATGTAGACGAAAAAAAAACTAATTGCACAGTTGGGTGAGAAATCGCGAGACGAAACTTTCGAACATAATTAGTCCATAATTAGACACTAATTATCAAATACAAACGAAAGTGCTACAGTACCCAAAAACCAAAAAAATTCGGATCTAAACGCGCCCCAAGAGTGCGCGAAATGTTCACAAGGAAATCGACACATGCATGCATGTTGCAGCAGGGCATTCATTGTTACTCGCCTTAGCTGTCTTCTACTCCTCCACCCATAGTTATAGCCTGGCTTACAGGAGCAGGGATGTTTATTGAAAAACTGACAGCTATACTCCGTCAATTTGTCGCCTATGAATTATCTACCATTTGTTCTCTATAGTTTGGAATTAGGAAGCCTCCACCTGTCGTACATGCATTTTTTTTAGAATCTCTTATCAGTGTCTGATACGTATGCTTTTGCAAGATCAGCTGTATTACACTTGGGAGTGGACAAAGGAAAATGGAATCTGGTTCAATTTCAGTCCGGAAAGTTATTTTGCTGGGAGAAGTTATATTTTCAAAGTTCGGGTAGCATGTATTAACATAAGTAGTAATGCTGTGCAATAGTATTGCGCTCATGTCATGTTGTCAACTACCAAACAACAAATAGCATTCCAGTTAGCTTCCGTTAGTTGGCCATGGAGCAACACACAATGGCAGAGACAGAGAAAAGTTATTATTGGTAGGAGCAATAGAATTCGTCTTCTTGCCCACCTTTGGAAATTTGATTTTCCACCACTAGTGGTCCAGTCATTTGATATCATGAAGAAATTCCTGAATTTTACATGGCACACTGATCATAAAAAAAACATGATATTGTCTTCAGCAAAGAGTATTGTGTAGAAATCAGAACATGTTGCCCTCGAATAAATATGACGAAAAGTAGCATCAAAGGTCTATGGTATTTGATATGTAGTGTTGTAATTTTCAAGCATAGGAGGGTAGAAACCATACATATATGCTTGCCGGTAGCTCGTTTTGATCATAAAAGTCTGATGTGTGCTTTGCTGCTAAAATATTTGTTTTAAAGACGCAGCTAAAATATCCATGATAAGATGTGCATGCTGTGCTAATACCTTAGCTGCAGAGACTATGAGCAGGCTTGGTTCCCTCGCCAATCAACAAGCCTCATCTCGCAAGCTTTGAGGTACATATATATATTGACACAATTGCTTGGCTCCTCTAATCTCCTTGTCAAAGATTTTGGTTTATGATTTTGTTTGTGTCGGAGCGAAATCACGCCGATTGTATGATCGGTGACCTACTTCTCTTATGCATTAGAGACAGAGATAGAATCGTAAAAATATAATAAGGTATGTTTAGTAGAGCTTTAGGTCTAGCATAGAGCTCTAGGTGTGGCTTCTCTGGTAAAGCAGCTTTTTTTTTTACTCTAGTTTTAGTTAGAAAATATTTGGTCAAACAACTCTTATGGTTGTTGAAAATGGTGAAACATCAACTCTTCAATTTCTTTTTTCTTTTTCTTTATTTTTTCTTCTGAATTTTCTCTACTCTCTCCACCCTATCCATGCTGGCCTCCTCCGCCCCGCCTTGCACCAGCCCAGAGGGGCCTCCCATTCCAGCCACTCCGTTCCTCCCTGTGCCGGCTTCTGTGCCCCTCCCTGCGCCGGCCCAGAGGCCCCTCCCCACATTCCTTGGGTAAATCGGACAACGGCCACGTGCTGGGCCCATGGAAGCAAGAGGGATTGGGTGAAGCTTCTTTTTTCAGCTTGCTCCCACATCCAACTCCAATCACCATGATTCATGAAGCTTTCTTAATGTAACCATTTTAGCTTTGAGTGTTTGGTTGGAGAGCTGATTGGAGTTGTTGGAGAAGCTCCAGCAAATCAAACGGAGCCTAAGTTTAGACCTAATATATTTTACTCTAAGTAGGATGAGTCTTACTAGAACATGTACAAATTGTTCTAACTACGTAATCAACATAGCCCATAGCCTAAGTGCTTGACCTCCTCAGGCAGCTTAACAAGGCTCCTCTTGCAAGCGCTGAGGTACATATAGAGGGGACCATTATATATAGAGGGGAGAAGGCCAACCGCTTCTATCATTTGTTATTTTACATACAATCTTCTCTGTTTTAATTTCTACCTGGTTGCGACCACTGATTTTGAGAAATTAACAGAGCCCAGATGGAGATATCATAGACTGTATAGACATCTACAAACAACCTGCATTTGATGATCCTCTCCTCGAGAACCATACTATCCAGGTCCCTCTCTCTGCAGGAGCATTTCCCTTTTCGTTTCAATGTTCGGTGCAGCCTAGTTGCAGTGCCTCCCGCCAACACATACATATGTGCATGTATCATGACATCACTCAACGGTGCTCCTTTGTCACCTTTCAGATGCAGCCTTCTGACCACCCTAAAGGCTTGCATGATGACTCCAAAGTTTCGGCCCGTCCAATCACCCAAACATGGCATCAGAATGGCAAGTGCCCTGAGAACACCATACCAATTCGAAGGATCAAGGAGGAGGATGTCCTGAGGGCCAGTTCCATTGGGAGATATGGCAAGAAGATGCCCAGGAGCATCCCAAAACTCATTTCTGTCGATGACCCTGTCAAGCCCAGTGCACTACCCTAGAATAAGCTATCACTGCCGACCCTATCACTACCAGAATTTTAAAACCGACACTGATAAATGCATCATTGCCGGTTCATAAGAAAAAAAGCTATCACTATCGGATTTTCAAACAAACCGACAGTGATATATATTATCACTGCCGGTTGGTAATAAAAACAGGCAGTGATGTGTATCACTGTCGGTTGCATCTCACAGACCGGCAGTGATCCATAGCTCCGGACCTGAAATTTTAATTCATCCTGGTTAACTGTGCGGCCGCCGAATCCACGCGCTCTCTCTCCTCTCTCTCATATCTCTCCCCGCTCTCTCTCCTCATTCTCATGTTTCTCCGCCGAATCTCTCCCTGCTCTCTCTCCTCTCTCTCATGTTTCTCCAAATCCACCTCGCTGCGGCCGCCGACGAGCGGTCGGGAAGCCGGCGCGGCGAAGGCATCAGGCTGCCGCGGGTGCGAGGCCGCCGTGGGCGCCGGCGAGCGGTCGGGGTCCCGGCGCGCTTCTTCCTCCTCCCCAGATCTCCCCACGCCTCCACACTTTCCTCCCCAGATCTCCGTGCGCTCCGGTAGCTCCGTGGCTGGAGGCCTAGAGCGCATGCGCTGGAGTTGAAGGTCCCATCCGAGGTGAGTCGCCCTGGCCTATCCTCGTCCTCGCTTTTTTTTTCCTTTTTCTCCGTCCGTAGATTGCGCCTTCCTGATGGCCTGCCTCTCCATGCGGCTCACCTCGCGTGGTTTCTAGGAGCTGAAGGGGGCACAAGGGGGCGCTACATCTGTGGTGTGGAGAGGAGCTGCAGTGGACCTGCGCCGGACCTGCGGAGGAGATGTGCCGGACCTTCCTCTATGTTGTGTGAATCAATTTGTAGATGAGTTATTTTGTTTGTGTTGAACCCTGCTTCTCTGTCTGTGATGTACGAATCGATCTGTGGATGGGTTGATTTGTGATGTGTTGAACCCTTCTCCTTCGTCTGCGATGCACGAATCGATTTGTGGATGAGTTTTTCTGATGTGTTGAATCCGTCCTTTGTGATGTATGAATTTTTTTCTTGGATGAAATGCTTGATGTAGTGGCGGCGGTAGCCAGCGAGCATGGTGGCGGCAGCGGTGGTAACAAGCATGCTCCAGCCAGCATGCTTGTTGGATTGTTTTTGTTTGTTTTTCTAAACCTTATCATTGCCGGATGAAGTACCGGCAGCAGTAGCCAGCGAGCATCACTGCCGGTATGCCACTGCCGGTTCAAAATCCGGCAGTGAAGGGGGATTTTGAACCGGCAGTGATATCGAAAACTGGGGTAGTGGTGTGACGAGTGGCCACAAGGTACACAATGTCATTCATGAATCACCTTCACATCAGTACTAATCATTTATTGTTATTAGTGTTTATGAAATTTCTCATTTAATTTGACTCTTGCTCTCTCATTGAGAAGTATGCCATAGCTGCAGCACCGGAGGATAAGTACTATGGAACCAAAACCAACTTCAATTTGTGGCAACCAACAATTTTGAAGAACAAGGACTTCAGTTTGGCCCAACTCTGGATTAGTAAGGGGTCCTATAGCAACAACGACCTCAATACCATTGAAGTAGGATGGCAGGTATGACCTCAAGGAGAAACATTATTAAACCCATCTTCATAAAAGGTTCTATTAAAAGCTGTTTTTCATCCTCCATGATTATGTGCTTTTGAAAGAGCTAGAGCTTGAGTAGGATCAAGAGTAGGTATTGATTCATGCAAACCTTTTTCTTTCATGAGTTGTGCTAACAGCATGAATTTTTTTAGAAGATCGTGTCCTTATACGTGTCTAGGTTGTCCTCACAAATGTGTTACAAAAATAGATCAATCCTAAAAGTTCCAAAAGAAACAGCAAAACACATCCAACTATCGATTCGGTAGACACAATTATTATCAGAAACAATAGCAAATGGATCTAATTTGCACAACCGCCCATAGTACCTTTTGTTGTGGTGACACTTTATCTAGATAGTCTCACACAGATAAAGGAAAAAAAACTGTCTACAGGACATAGATAATATAATGATGAGTAGTGTTGTTGTTTGCTTCACCAAAGGACAACCGTACCTCAAAATCTCTCGTGCCTCACTTCCACCTATAATAAATAAATCTTAGGTTGCAAAGCTTAGATAGCTAAGATCACAGTACAATATGATCCTAATGCCTATGGACTACTTTTGAACAACATCGTGGTTGCTCTAAGGAGCATGGGCGGCGTCAGGGGTATTCCCCTGTATGCCATGGAATACCCAAGATTCTACAAACAAACACAGATACATATACATGTATACGCTTGTATATTTGCTACATTTGCAAATCTGGCCGACTGGACCAAAGCCCCAAAGCCCAACAGACAGAAAGCAGCGAGCAACCCACCAAACAAAAAAGAGTCGCATCGTTTTCCTGGCCGTCGCTCCCAGTTTCCCAACTTGCATATCAGCTCAATGTGTACATTTCTTAGGTGCGTAGAGACGAAAGGTTTAAAAATTTGAAGAACCTACGCGAGCTTTCAGTCATGCTTGTTAGCACAAAAAGACATGAGCAGTATTATGTTGTCTACAAGCTTCTTAAATTGGTGTTAATTCTTCCTATAGCCACTGCTAGTGTTGGGAAAGTGTTTTCCACCATGAATTATGTAAAGAACAAGCAAAGAAATAAAATGGGTGATGAATATTTTGAATAATTGCTTGGTCATATTTATTGAGAGAGAATTCTTCACTCAAGTGAAAGATGATGACATCATTAATGAATTCCAAAAAGAGGATCGTAGAGTTTAATTTTAGTAGTTTTGAGCTTTTGATGTTTTGTAATCTTTCTTAATTATTATAGACAATGGCACTATGCTACTATGTTCAGATCTTGTACTTTGACTATTACTATTGCACATTTGCATCGATTTTTTTTTACGCGGAATACTCAGCTGTGAAATCCTGGCTCCGCCACTGCTAAGGAGCATCCTACTATACTTGCTCTCTTCCATTGTGGCTAATGGTCATGTGCTCTCTACGAAATTGCAGGTTTATCCGGAGCTCTATAGGGATAGCAATACTAGAATATTCATCTACTGGACTGTAAGAAAAACACAATATCCCTGTTTTTTCTTTAATTAGTACTAATAGAGGTCCTTTTTATTAAGCTAGGGAATGGCATAAAGAGATACTAATTTTCTGTAGTTATGGAATATTGTAGCGTGATGGATACCAAATAACAGGATGTTACAACCTAAACTTCCCAGGGTTCATCCAGACAAACAATCAGTTTGCAATCGGTGGCAACATCTCCCCTGTCTCCAGTTATGGTGGCTCACAATTTGACATCGATATTTTAATCTGGAAGGTAAAATACAAAAACCTTTCACATTGCAAACATTCAAAATCAAAATTGTGAATGGGCACAGAGAATCTATGCCAGCAGCTTCGTGTCCTTTCTTAATCTGCCTTCGGACTTAAGCCCAGGCTATCAATGGTCGCTCTAGCTTATTAGGATCATGCCTGTTTCATATTTGTTCGCAAATAGTACAACAGTATTGAGTTAGCCTTTTGAGCAAGGGCTCTTCTAACATACTCCTTATTTTTAAAACCTTGGAGATTAAATTATAGTTTACATTGACTCTGTAAGTTATTTTTTTTTTTTAACTTTGAAAAAGTTTAAAATCACTGGCAACTAGAAAATCATATTAATTTCATTATATTATACATGAAATATGTTTTAATAGAGCATTTATTTGAAGTTATGGATGTTTGCGCTTCCACTCCCATCGAAGAGCGATATACTTTGACTTTTGTGCATGCATGATTTTAGCACTCAAAGGACTTATAAATATATTGCCTTATCATAAACCTAGCTATTTTCTGAATTTTCCCGTAAATTGTGGGTTGCAGGACCCCAAGGGGGGCAATTGGTGGTTGCAAGTGGGAAGCTATGTTGTGGGCTATTGGTCATCATCCATATTCTCCTACTTGGTAGACAATGCCTCCTCTGTCATGTGGGGCGGCGAGGTGTACTCACCTAACCCTGTCCAAACTTCCACACAGATGGGTAGTGGACACTTCCCTGAGGAAGGCTTCGGCAAGGCCAGTTATATTAGGAACATCCAAGTGGTGGGTTCGTTCAACATTCTCCAATCACCAGACAATGTGGACTTGATGAGTTCACAGTAAGGATGCTATAATGTACAGAATGGTACTAATAGGAATTGGGGCACTTACATCTGCTATGGAGGACCTGGAAAGAACCTTAACTGCGTTGGTAAAAAATGAATTATTCTTTTAGAACCCAAACATCTCCTTGAAGAGTAAATAGTAAATAGATACATGTGACTGTATTCATTTGTAGAGCATACAAATACACAAAGAAAATCTTGGTAGCAAACCATTTTTTGTTTCACCATTGGACAAATTGATTTTTTTTTTTTTTGGAAAAAGGCCATTTGACAATTTTTCTTGCCAGCTGGAGCGTGCTGTTTCATTCACTGATTTAACATATTCTTTCTTCTGTAGGACAATATCTCTTTCAAACTAGAACGTTTGTCCTTTCTTTATGGAATAATCTTTATTTCAAACTAGATTATTTTCCCCTGTCCCATCAAACAATTCGTCTTCCTGTTCCTAGTTTGGAAGAAAAGATATATAATATATTCAATGAAAAACAAAAGGTAAATGTTCCACCCAAAGAAAGAAAATGTTGGGTCTCACTCTCATTTTTGAGAAAAATTTCTATTGGACACCAGAAAAAGTATAACTTCCTTATTTGACACTCAAACTCAAATTCTTTCCTATTTGTCCCCGTCTCAAGTTTTTCTTTCTCATTTGACACTTCTGCTACTTCTGTGAGGAAACACAGTTAAATCTCCTAGTGGGACAACGGAAAAGACTGAAATACCCTTTGAGCAAAGGGAAGGGGCAGCCGGCGCGGGCTGAGGGGCCCTAGACGCCGGGCGCGGCCAGGGCCTATGCGCCCAGGTCCGGCGCAGCCAGGGTTGCTGTGAAGCCTCTGTTAGCTTGTGCGTGCTACTATAGAAAGTAATCGAGCCAGTTACTTGAAGATGTGTGTCCATACATGCGTTATTTTGTTGTACGTGGTTGCAGCTCCCTGATGCTTTGATCACACGAAGAAGAACAGAAAAGTTAGCGTGTGTATATTTATACATAAGCTAGTGGAGACGCGCGTGCAGGCTCGCGTGTCGTCGTCAAGAATGAGAAAAGATACGAAGAAGCTAGATATCTGCGCATTCATGCATGCGACGATACGTAGATAAACTAACAAATCTGCTCAGATAGTCCTATTTTATTGTTATGTATTATGTACCTTAATGATTGATATTGAACTCAACATAATTATAAGTAATTACAAGATTATGCTCCTTCCTTTATTTTACAGAAGCAATTGAAAAATGAAAACATAACCGTTGAAAGTAAAACGTCCAAACAAGATAGCAATAACCAGCATGTTAATAACTGGGAAGAAAAACGACAGTGGTAAAGCGGTCTTTTCCTTAGGACTTAACACGGTTATAACTCCAAACTAACAGAAGTGTCAAATAAAAAGAAAAATTTGAGACGGGGATAGATAGGAAAGAAATTGTGTTTGGGTGCCAAATAAGAAAACTGTACTTTTTCTGGTGTTAAATAGAAATTTTCTCCTTATAAAAGGAAATGTTAGCTCGCCCAGGCTCAGCACAACGCTTTCATAGCTGAGATATTTTCTAGTTGGGCCGATGGGCTAATTGATGCTCTCGGTAAGAGGCTATACGCCTGCGAGGCCCAGCAAGGCCTGCTTGATGACAGATGACATGAAAAGGCGAATTGTGCCGGTTTCGTTGCATTTGGGCATTTTAGTGATAGCATGGATTTAGGCATCCGGCCCGCATTCAGTTTGCTTACCTGAGAGCCTTAGTTGCTTGGCCTGATCAATCACTTTTGAGCGGTGATGACAAGGAAGAGCTAGCTGAGCATGTTTTTCTTCATCTCTGAATCTGCAGCAAGTTCCGAAGCTTATTCAGTCGGTCACCACGATCGGTCATGTTCAGTCTCAAACTCAACTTGAACCACGAACGCCACTGGACAATGGTTTTCTCTGTACCGTAGTCTTTTCAGTAATGCTCAAGAGCGTCCGTCCGCGCTACTGGAATAACAGGTCTACTTTCTCTCTCCGTCTCCCCGTCTGTCTCAAAAATATCTATCACTCCCGTGCTCACCAATCACGTGTTGTTGCGCCGTGCGCTCGATGCTGCTGTCTTCCCCGCTGCGCACCATTTCCCGCGCTGCACGGCTCCCAACTCCAGTGCCACGCTCCATCCCGCGCCGTGCCCCCATCCCACACTGTGCCCCCTTCGTCGCCGCGCCACACTCCATCCCCCACCGCGCCGCTTCAGCTCGCTGCAAGCCACGCCCCGCTGCTACGTGCCTTGCTCCATCCCCGCACGCCGAGGTGCTGCTGGGTGCAGCCAACACAGCTGTTCCCCACGAGAAGGTTGTGGCTGATGTCGATGTCGTGGCCACTGCGACGCGCGATCTTAGCAAGGAGATATTGTGATAAAGCGCATGTTGCACTAGTACAACGACGATTTCTCTTGGTGGTGGTCATTTTTTTCGGTGGCGGTTCGTAATGTATGGGCGCCACTAGAAATAAAACTTGTGGGTCCAGATTATGAACCGCCAGTGTAAATTTATTTTTACTAGTTGTTTTCTTAATTTACCGACACTAAAAATACATGATTTCTACTAGCGTAGCCTTAAGAAAGTAGCCGATAAAAATGTATTTATAGTGGCGGTTTTCATAACCTAGCGTCACTGCAAATAATTTGAAATGGACGCCGAATATTAAAAATTAAGTACTAAAAAATTAAATTTTGCAAACGACCTTGTATAAAGAAATGATCAAAATAAAAGTTGTAGATCTCGTATATAACTTTATTGTTTACAACTTTTCCATTTAAAATCATTTGATGTTTCAAAATGTTGTTTGAAATTCAATTTTCAAATGGTTGAAGAACACTGATCTATCTTTTTAATCTCTGGCTAAAACTTTAACTAGTCTTTGTTCCTCGTAATAACTTCAAATTACTTGATTTTTTCCTAAAATTTTGTAAAATCATGCTCTATCAATTTATTGTGTTCTTATATTAAATATTTCGGTCATCTTTTCTTTTTAACATTTCAAAATTTGAGTTTCAAAAATGGTAACTTCAAACAGTATTTTGAAACATCAAATTATTTCAGCTGAAGAAGTTATTAACATAAAAGTTGTAAAACTCATCAAGATCTACAACTTTTATTTTGGTCATTTCTTCATCCGACAAAGTGTTAGTAAACATTGTTCACAAATGACATATCTCTTGTATAGTTTCGTAAACTATGCGAGAGATTTATGAATTTGTGAATAATGCATACTATCACATTCTCGGATAAAGAAATGACCAAAATAAAAGTTGTAAAACTTGATGAGTTCTACAACTTTGTTGTTGATGACTTTTGCAACTCAAATTATTTGCTGTTAAAAAATCTTGTTTGAATTTGTCTTTTTTTGAAATTTAAAATTTGAATTGTTCAAACTAAGTCACATGAAAAGATGATCAAACTGAAAGTTGTAGAACTTTGTATTTGACAACTTTTAAATTTCTAAAATTTGAAATTTGAATTTTTTGAACGACCTCGGATGGAGAAACAACCAAAATAAAAGTTCTAGAACTCAAAAGGTTATGCAACTTCGTAGTTGATAACTTTTTCATTTAAAGTCATCTTATCAAGAAAAATTATGTTTGGATTTCTCAAATTTCAAATTTTAATTTTTCAAATGACCTCAGAAGGAGAAACAACCAAAATGAAAGTTGTAGATCTCGAAAAGTTATGCAACTTTATAGACTTTTTGATTTAAAATCATCTAGTTGAGGATAATTATGTCCAAATTTCTTACATTTGAAATTCAAATTTTGTAAACGATTTTGAAAGGACAAACATAAAAAACTAAAGATATAAATCTCGAAAAGTTATACAACTTTGTAGTTGACAACCTTCGCGTCCCTCCCTTTCGCTCGCCTTGGCCGATTCCGCCATGATGAAACTTTGCGCCGACATGTGGTCCCACACCTCCCTCCCTCTCTCGCTCGCCTCGGGTGATTCCGCCGGACCGCCGCTCCAACCCATTACGCCCGAGGCCTGACTCGGCTCCGCACGTCGCCGCCCTATCCCTGTCCTGTCACACGCGACGCCGTCACTGGAGTATGGATGGGCGGGACGCGCAGCTGCAAGGGTGCCACTTGCGCAAAGAATAGGATCGAAGGGGAGGACTATGTCGTCGCCAGCTGTGGAAGGGTACCTACTATCGCCAGTGATCACGGAGATCTCGCCATCCTCGCTTAGGATGCATCGTCGGCGGGATCTAAGGATGCCCCTGCTGCAGCAGTGACAGCGGCAAGGGAGGACAAGGCCGCGGCCCTGGCGAAGGCGCCGGCCAAGGTGAATTCCGTCCAGTGGCGGAACCAGGGGGTATATTTAGAACCCTGCCATTCCAAGTCCTCTTCAAAGCACATATACAGCACATACAGATCAATATTCTGCACTTTAGCAGGTCTCCATTCCCCCGCATTCAAAGCCTAGGGACCTCTCGGACGAGTCAACAACAAACCGCTACCCATTAGATGGAATTAGCATATGCACAGCGTCGGCCGGCGCAACAACTAGAGGTTAACAAAACACCGTGGAACAGCGAGAGGTGCTCACTGCTCAGGCACGGTACACTTCTGACCCAACTGCATGCACCCTCAAGCAACATGCCGACCCACGAAGTCACAGTGTTTTGCATGGGCCCCCTACCTAAGGTTCCTGGTTCCGCCACTGGTTCCTGGGCTCCGAGCTGCCTTCACCCGCCTCGATTCCTCTTCCCCCAAATTCGTCTAATCTCCTTGATTTTTTCTGTCTCAATCTGATTAGGCGCTAGTTTGTGACGAACCTACTTAAATTCAGAAGCCAGCCAAACTGGTTGCATGGATCATGCATACAAGGCCTCACAGATGCAGACACTTGTGAAGGCTATGATCATATGACAACTTTTTTATCTTTATCTGATTTTTACTAAGAACGAATAAACTGTCTTCAAATTGATTTCATTTGGAGTGGGGTGAGTATAAGAAAGAATGAATCAGGAAAAGGGAGACATTTGT